ATTCCTGTTCCTCTCTATGCCGACAATACGAGTGCCATTGCAATTGCCTCAAATCCTGTCTTCCACGAGAGGACTAAACATATTGAGATGGACTATCATTTCATTCAAGATCTTTTCACTGTAGGCTCAATTTCTCTTCCTCATGTCGCCTTGAACATGCAAATCACTAATATCTTCACCAACACCATGACTAGGGATCAACATCTCTATCTTATGGGAAAACTGATGCTTATGCTTATGCATTAGTTTGAGGGGGAGTTTGGAGACTCCAAGACTGATGTATAGTTTATTATAGTCCCTTTTGTACAATATTATTGTAATCTATAGCCTTTGTATTGTAAACCAACTTAAATAACTTTGAAAATAATGGCTTCAAAGGAATAAAAAATAAATGATCCAATCAAATATGCCATATCATATATGACCTACTAACTCAAAAGAAACAAGATCAGGATGAAAACTTTGAGGAAACAAGACATCTAGTGACAAAATATCAAGATAAATCTCATCCACCTCACTGCCACTTATAATCTTCCTCTTTGAAATCAGACCCCAGAAGACATGATAATTAGACAGAGAAAGGTTACTGAACAATGTAAACCCTTTATGAAACTATTAACAAAAAGCTAATCTATGTAGCCTAAGAACATGTAAAACAAATGGTAATTTCAACCTATCAGTTAACTCTAATGTATCCTTTCACATAAAAAGGAGATAGTGACCTATCTGCAATACAAACATTATCTGCACCCAAACATAATTATAGGGTGCTTTGATCTCTAGAGAAGCTGCTCAACTGTTATAGGGGGTGGTTGCTGTTCGAGAGGTATCAAAGAAGCCAGGCAAGAGCAGTTGCTAATTTGCTATTTCTCTCTTTCTCCCATGTTACAAGGTTGGTGAAACCCTAGTATTAGGTCTTACACTAACTGTAGGTCAGTTGTTTTGGGTTGTTATACTTGTTTTCTTGTTTTCAGTGAACTGAGTTGTTGAGGTAATGGAGCAAGCTAGAGTTGATTTGAAGCAGTTTATAGATCTAGTGTTGGTCCAACAGGGTCTCTGGATAAGTTGTCCAAATCTTATGATTCACAATTTGAATCATGAATCCTAAGGGTTTCGATTCAAATCTTATGTTTAAATCCTTTTTAGCAAAAATCTTACAATTTTTGTTTGAATCCTATGATTTGATTCATAAATCATATGATTTATACAATTTCTACAATTCACTACGATTCAAATAAATTCAATTAAGAATTATTTCACTACTTTATTATTTTTTTTTTATATTTAATTTTGCCAAGGGACACTTTTTTTAAAACCCTTACTAGAAAATGATTTATTTACATTATTTAAGACTAGAAATTGAGTTTATTTTCCATCATATGTAGGTTAAAGAGCCATTGTAGTGGATTTGATTGACTTTCAAATCAAACTTGATTATAATCATCTTAGTCTTCTATTGTAAGTGTGGAAAATTCTATTGTTTTAGGTACATATATGGTAGATATAAATTAAAATAGGGTAAAGTCACTTTCCTATATATATTTAGCCTGTTAGTATATCTATATTTTATTAACCAAAAAGAATATATATATCTATATTTAATTTTTTGACAAGTTTGTAAAAAATAGAAATAATCTTACGATTTACGATAATTATTCAATTCGATTCAACTTTCTCTATGATTATGATTTTCAAAACATTTATTAAAGCTAGATGGGACAAATTATCTGGAATGGCCTCATGTATGCAGTATAGGGATGTTGTGTTGTCTTACAAGCAATACCAAGAAACCCAAAAAAAAAAAGGAATATCCCACTTATGAGAAGTGGATGCAGGAAAATTGCATGGTGATTGGCTGGGTAACTCCCTATTACTAAATATTAGTAAGCACTATTTGTGGATGAATATAGCAAAGGAGGTGTTGGATAATGTGGGCGAAACATATTCCCAGAAGATGTATGTTGCCAAGGCATACAGGTTGAAGAATGAAAATAATTTTAAGGCAAGGGGAGAACTCTCTGGCAGTATACTTCTCTATTTGAAATCCTTATGGCAAGAAATATATATATATATATATATTATTTCATATAAAAAGGAGTTTATTAAAACACTTGTAAACAGGTGTGCCGGTGCCCAAAGATACAATTGGTTAGAACATATTAGCTAGAGATGATGTGACTCTATCTTAAGCCTATTCATTAGTGAGCAGTGGAGAGTAGGAGACAGGTACATCTTCAGGGAGCATCTACAGATCTTTATGCACATGCGGATGTGAAGTCTAACAGTAGTGAGGGTAAGGAGGTTGTATGTGATTTTTACAAGAAACCAAAGCCTACTAAGGAGACTTGTTGGAAATTAAATCCACATCTCATGCTTGCAAGATTTAGAAACAATAAGAATGGGAATTGAAATGCAATGTGGCTATAGTACCAAAAGATGACAAGGTACCTAATGAAGAGAAATCAACTCTAGAACAGTTAGCAGCAAGCAAAGCTGGAAAATCATAGCCAACTTCTAAATCAATTGGAGAGTACAATGATACCCAGTTCTTCAAGCAATTCATCCTCTACACTACAACTCTTGCTCACTTAGGTATTTGTGCCTTTTTCAATCATGCAACAGTCTTAGGTAACCATGATATCCATTGGATTATTGGTTAGTTCTAATTAGGGGTGCACATCGGAAGGGCTGGGCTAGGTTTATGGTCAACCCAGCCCCGACCCTAAAATTTGGGCATAAGGCCCGAGCCCGGACCAAACCCGAGGTCAAGCCCGATCTTCCCAGCTTGAACCCAGCCCGCACTGTAATTTGATGCACTCGAGTTGGGCTTGGGCCCAGGCCGGGCTCGAGTTGGTCAATGAACCCTCTCTAAAATTATATATGTAAATATGTATACATATATGTATGCAAATATATATGTATATAGGTATATATGTATACAAATGTATATACATACAAATATATATATATATATATATATATGTATGCAAAATTTACATATATACATATGAATGTATGAATGTGTATAGTTGGGCCGGGTTCAGGCTACGTAAAGGCTAGGCCCGGGCCTGGCCCGAAAAATAAAAAGTCAAATTTCTTGGGCCCGATCCCAACCCGAGGACCGAAAATCCAAGTCCAACCCCATGTAAAATTTCGAGCTAGGTCGGTTCAGGCTTAGGCTAGGCCCGCCCAAGTTGCACCCCTAGTTCTAATGCTTCTAGCCACATGACCAATATTTCTAACCTATTTAATATCTATCAACTCCTCCCTGGCCATGACAAAATATCCCTAGTAAATGGTTCTCTTGCTACCACCTCTAGAAAGGGAGACACTAGAGCCACTAATTCCCTAACCCCATCCTCTGTTCTTCATGTCCCTAAGCTCAGCACAAACCTTCTCTCTATTAACAATTTAACTAAGCCCTCAAAGTTATTATAGGCATATATAGCTGCCACAAGAATTGACTACACAGAGAAGGAAAGACCAAACAACACCAAGGAGAGTGATATAGGAGCTGAAGAGTCAAAATTTGGAATTTTCTGAATTTCTATGTATTTTTGTATTTTTGGACAATAGGGACATTCTCATAATTTTGGCTATTTAGCAACAACACAAGTTCACAACTAATACCTGATCCCTAATCCTAAAATAAAATGAATTATAACTAAAATCACAAACCAACCTCTTTAAATATAGAAGGCATGCATGGACTTGTTTGGGCATGCTTCAAAGGGCTATCACATGGGTGGAGGGCCAATCTCCTAGGATTAGGAATGCAAGATGTTTAGCATCACAAATTCACACTATCTAGGAGATAAATAAAAACATCAAAATTTAAATATGCTTGAATAGCTATGAGCTTGAAGCACTTTGGTACGAGCACATAGTATGGTTGTCAAGGCGACACCTAGGCGGGCATCACTTTGAAGCACTTTTATATTCTTAATTTTTTGAGATTATGATTATAAAATAGACATTATTAAACTAAAATATTCATTTTGTTTCTTTATATACCAATTTCTTTTTATTATTTTCTTATTTTTTAGGGTTTAATCAACACAAACATTGGTAATTGCTGTATTCAACCCTCAAAGACTTTAAAACCACTTTTTTTTTTCTTCTTTTCCTATAACAAAATAGGGATTCAGCCCCCATATTTTCTGATTTTTTTTCTCTTTCTTCTTTTTCTTGTGAATATGTTGATTTTCTATACTTTAACATGAAGTTTATACTTCTCTTATGAAAATTATGGATAATTATTAAGGAATATGATTATGGAACCTAGGGAACTACTCTAGGATATATGTTTTTTACTTAAAAATGACATTAAAGATATCTCCTTCATTTGATGATATGATAAAATGATAAATAACCAATCTAGGGTGTATTAAAAAATGAACTTAGCAAAGGATGTGCTTTAAGAGGTGAAGAAATAAATAACCAATGTTAACTTATCCTCCTAAGTTGGAGGAGGTTAGGTAAATAGTTAGAACCAAGTTGTCACAATCTCCCTATTTTCACCTCATTGAGGTTTAAGATGCACGTTCTTCATCAAAATTGTAGATGTCTTTTAACCAACTTAAATGCTGTTCATGTATGTATGCATGTATCTACATATTTATATGCATGCGTATATGTGATGTATGCCTAAATTTATAGAATATGTTTCAGAGAAATAATACTTTGAGAATTTACTATGCCCTTTTAACTACTGACGTAAAAATCTCCCTATTTTCACCTCATTGAAGTTTAAGATGCACGTTCTCCATCAAAATTGTAGATGCCTTTTAACCAAGTTAAATGCTGTTCATGTATGTATGCATGTATCTACATACTTATATGCATGTGTATATGTGATGACAGTGACGTATGCCTAAATTTATATAATATGTTTCAGAGAAATAATACTTTGAGAATTTACTATGCCCTTTCAACTACTGAAGACATTTTTAAGTTACATAGACTAGTAGATAGAAGGGAAAGCCATTCAGGATACTGACCACCTATGAGCTTTCATGAAGAATGGTTGAGGAATATCAAGTCCTGTGTTTTGAAATTCCTCAAATAATTCTTCAACCACTTTAGTCAATGCTTCATTTGAAGGTTTCTGAAGACCAGTTTCTCTAATGACAGCCTTTGCATAAGCTGCTGTTGAATGCAATACCCAACACTCACTGCACAGCCATGAAGCAAATTCTCTTAAAAAAAGCGGAGCTTAAACTAAAACCTTACCCAGCATTAAAATAATCATAAAAAGAGAGGAAAAACACCTGACATTTAATGGATGTCATTTTTCATATACCTAGTGGCAGAACGCCCTGGCTTGCTACTATCACAAAAGGCCCAGCTTAAAACTTCAGAATTCCTGAATGAGATGCCTTTAACAGGTATCTAAACCATTAAGAAGTAACTCAGTGAAAGGAAGAAAAGGAAAGAGACGATGAAAAAACAGAGCCTGTTTATAACAAGCTGAGTAGACAATGGAGACATCAAGTGTAGAATCCTTCATGGAAATTATGTATTAAGAGAGAAACAAGATAGATATTTGACAAGATAAATCAATTAGCTACAGAAATGAGAACTCAGATCACTATTATGATAGAAATGGAGAAAATATAGGGAGAAGAATTTAAGAAGGTTGACTACGAAAAAGGCCATTACCCAATGTTAGTCCAGACTATCCACAACTGGGAGTTTGCAAGGGTGGACTATATATATAGATAGATAGATAGATAGATAGATAGATAGATAGATATGTAGAGATAGCTGATAGACCATTAGTGTGTGTGGGGTTCCAGCCCCACACTATTTTCTGTTTATTTATTTATTTTTCAGTTAGAGTAGTTGGATCGGTTGGGCCTTGTTTGTTTTCTTTTATTTTTAAGTAAGGGTATTAAGGTAACTCTAGTCTTGTAATAGATCACAATATAAATAAGATGTAATGGGTGGCTAGAGAATTAATTCTGCCGAACCCTTTTCTTCTCTTTTCTTCTTCTCTTCTCCTCTTCTCTTTCTTCTTCTATTCGTGACCTTTTTCTCTCTTCTTTTTTCTACTGAATTGAACCAGCAAACATCTATTTCCTGGTTTAATCTTTTCAAGTTGGTATCAGAGCCAAACCTAGGACAGTTTAGGGCTCTCATGTGAGCCTAATCCAGTCGGCAGCATGAGAACTTACTGAATCTGAAGCTGTGCATCATCGCCTGATTCTTGGAGGATCACTGGAGTCTTGAATTGTGCCCAAGGGATTACATGACCTTTGGAGAGTGCCCAGTGACCAGGAAGGATCAGAGAAGTTAGGTAAGTCAAAGATTAGGGCTTAAACTGAAGATTGAAGGTGGCGATCAAACTCTTTCTGAAAAAGAACCCATCTATATTGAGATCGGCCTTTAAAAGGAGCAGTTTTTAGCCTTCCTGGAAGCAGTGGTTAATAGAATTCTGTCTCCCTTGCTTATTTCTTTAGGGTTTTTGACAGATTTCTGTTATTTCAGTTATTTTCTCTGAGTTTTTTGAAACTCCACGGTCAGTTCTTGCTCCCAGATTTTTTCTGTGACTGTGGTTGGTTCTTGGGCAGTAATCTGTTTTTGGTTCCTGGGTGACTCTTCTTGACTGAGGAGTGTTTCTTGGTGGTATTTCTCAGCTGTGAGTGTTTAAAGGTAGTGACTGATTTTCTGATTCAGCATAAAAGTAGTCACAGTCAGCTGTGGTTTTCTGATTCAGCAGTCCTTTTGCATAAAAGGAAGTTTCTTTTGTGTAAAAGGAGTTCAAGCCCTCCTTTGATCAAAGTAGCGACTGTTAACATCTTTAAAATGGGGAAGGTTGGAAGTGAATTTAAGACTCAATGGGAAGGTTTTTTGAGAGCTGGAAGCATGACTGAAAGTTCTTTTCAGATTACAACTATTAGGTTCGATGGAACAAATTACTTGGAGTGGGCACAATCAGCCATGATGGCTATTGGAGGTAGAGGTAAATTAGGCTACATGACTGGGGATACAAAGAAMCCAGCCATAGAAGACACATCACATGCCAAATGGGTTCAAGAGAACTATTTGGTGATGACATGGCTGTGCAATTCAATGCAGCCCCATATTATCCGGAATTATTTATGGGCAAAAACGGCCAAGAAAATCTGGGATAATATGAAAGAGACCTACTCCCAACCCCTTAATGTTGCTAGGGCTTATGAACTGAAGTGTGAAGTGAATAATCTCAAGCAGGGGGAGAAGCCAGTCTTTGTTTACTTTGCCACTTTGAGATCTCTGTGGCATGAAATTGACCATTTGGAAACCATTGAATGGGAGAGTCAGAGAGATGCAACTACCTATAGAAAGCTGATTGAAACAAACAGAGTTTTTGAGTTCTTAGCAGGTCTGAATTCAGAATTTGACATAGTAAGACAGCAACTTCTTACCGGGGATAGTGTAACATTGTCTCAAGCCTATTCACTAGTACATAGTGAAGAGAGTAGGAGAAAGGCGATGTTACAGTTTCAGCCCATGGAATCAGCCCTAGCAGCAACAAAACAGAAATTTGGGAGAGATTAGGAAAAGGAAATAAAGAAAGAAGATAAAAAGGAGATGTTTTGTGATCATTGTAAAAGGCCGAAACATACTAGGGACACTTGTTGGAAGTTGCACCCTCATCTTGTTCCAGCTAGACTCAAAAATAAGAAGGGAAATGCTAATGTGACAGTCAACACTAACAATGCATTGTCTTCCAATACAAGAACCACATCTCTAGATGCCTTAGCTTTTGTTTGGGCTGCCTTGACACAATTAGAGAATGAGGCTGGTATTTCTGGGTCATCATCTCAGTCTTCAACTGCTACTCCTGCCATCCTACTTCAGCTTTTGCTTCCTCAGGTACAAGAGATACAACATATCATACTTCAGCCCCAAGTAACACTAGACCCTTCTGGGTAATAAATTCAGGTGCCTCTGACCATATAACTAGTTTATCCACCTTGTTTACTACCTATTGTTTGTCCTCTGGCAGAGACAAAGTATCTATTGTTGATGGCTCTCTTATACCTATTTCCGGCAAGGGAGACATCAGATTGTTTGATGCCATCTCCCTGTCCTCAGTTTTGTATGTTCCTAAGCTCAGTGCTAACTTGCTTTTAGTTAGTAGTATTACTAAGAATCAAAACTGTTCAGTAACCTTTTTTTCCTGATCGTTGTGTTTTTCAGGATCTAGAAATGAGGAAGGTGATTGGGATTGGCCGTGAGATGAATGGAGTCTACCTGCTTGAGCATCCACAGGGGAAGGAGAGTGAAGTTGGGAGATTGTTTGTTTCTCAGTTTTTTGGTCAGATTATGCTTTGGCATAACAAATTAGGTCATTTGTCTTTTGGGTCTTTGAAGAGTCTGCTTCCAAGTTTGTTTGAGTCAGTCCAAGTGTCTAGTTTGAGGTGTGAAAGCTGTGAACTTGCAAAATATTGTAGATCAACTTATTCTTTGAGAAATAAAAGAAGCAATCTTCCCTTTGAAATTGTGCATACCGATGTTTGGGGGCCATATCATATTCTTGCTATAGGGGGGGGGGTATAGATACTTCTTAGTATTTGTTGATGATTATACCCGTTTCTCGTGGGTTTACCTTATGCACTCTCGAGATGAGGTCCCTTCTCTGACCCAAGCTTTCCATCAAATGGTAATGACCCAATTTGAAATCAAGATCAAAACTCTCAGATCTGATAATGCCAAGGAGTACTTTGCAAAACCCTTGGCATCATATCTCCTAAATCATGAAGTTATTCATCAGAGCACTTGTCCCTGTACACCTCAGTAGAATGGGGTTGTTGAGAGAAAAAAACAGACATATTCTAGAAGTAGCAAGAAGAATTATGCTCAATTCTAATGTTCCCATACGCTTCTGGGGAGATGCAATTTGTACTATTGTTTACCTTATTAATCAAATTCCTTCACGGGTTTTAGACATGAAAACACCATTCAACCTTTTGTAGGACTTGTTCACTATTCCCCTTAAAACCTTTGGGTGTACTTGTTTTATTCAAATCCTTGGACCTTATCGCTCCAAATTTGATCCCAAAGCTGCTAAATGTATTTTCCTTGGGTATGCACAAAATAAAAAGGGGTATTGCTGTTATGAGCCTGTTTCAAAAAGGCATTTTGTGTCCATGGATGTCACCTTTTTTGAGGATATGCCCTACTATCATAGGGCTTCTCCTCAGGGGGAGAGTCGTGAGGAAGAGATTTCAGCCCTAGAAGTTTCATTACCTCTCCTAGTTATTGAGGGGGAGTGCTGTGAAGAGGGTTGCCAGAAGTGTAAGGAGTTGAGAGTGTATCACAGACAGTGGTGGAGGCAAGTTGATTCTCATTCTTAGCAGTCCAGGCCAATCCCAACACCTCCTACAGGTTCAGATGCAAGCATTACACCCACTGTTGAGCCCACTATTGCAGATACTTTGCCTAACACTGTTGAGCCTCAGCCTCCTCCTTCAGATGACCTTGATCTCCCAATTGCAATTCGTAAAAGGAATCGCCATTGTACTTCATCTATTGCTCATTGTATCTTCCAGTTTCTCTCTTATGATCGTCTCTCAGAATCCTGCAGATCATTCCTGGCATCTATTGCTACCATTCCTATACCTAGAACAGTGCAATGAGCTCTTTTGATACCTGAATGGAAGGAAGCGATGAAAGTAGAGATGGATGAACTTGTTGAAAGCAATACATGGGAACTAGTTGACCAGTTTGAGAGGAAGAAACCTGTTGGATGCAGATGGGTGTTTTTACAGTGAAATATAATGATGATGGTTCTATAGAGAGATATAAGGTCAGATTGGTTGCAAAGGGCTTCACACAAACTTATGGCATAGACTATATGGAAACATTTGCACCAATTGCCAAGATGAACACTATCAGAGTCTTACTATCTATGGCTGCAAATTTCTCTTGGCCACTATTTTAGATGGACATCAAAAATGCTTTTCTAAACGGAGATTTGCAAGAGGAGGTGTACATGGAGTTACCCCCCAACTTTTATAGTACAGAAGCAAGAAAGAAAGTTTGTTGACTAAAGAAGGCTTTATATGGGCTGAAACAATCTCTGAGAGCTTGGTTTGATAGGTTTAGACTGGCCTTGGAAAAGTTTGGTTACATGCACACTCAATCAGATCACACTCTCTTCTTTAAGAAGACAAACTCCTCCTTGACCTTACTTGCTGTCTACATGGATGACATTGTGGTGACGGGAAGTGATATTAGTGAGATAGACACTCTTAAGAAGAATCTTCACAAAGAATTTGAAGTAAAGGACTTGGGAGAACTGCGTTATTTCCTGGGAATTGAAGTAGCTCGATCTAAGCATGGCATTTTTATCTCTCAAAGAAAGCATGTCTTTGACTTATTGGAAGAAACTGGAAAGTTAG